TTTTCAGTTTTCAATTTTTGACGTTTCTAAATTTTTAGATTTTTCAATTTTTCGATTAACAGATTTTTTGATTTTTCCCATTTCTCTATTTCTCGATTTTTCAATTCTTTCTTCAATTGTGATTTTTCAATTTTTTGATTTCTGAATTTTTCATGCCAAAAGAGTATCTACAGTGAAATATTCGTTTTTTTCATTAAGTTGCCAAATTTGTCGTTGCAGGTCTTTCCGAAACATATAATTTGTAAATAAATCCGTTGGTTTTCGCTTGCCAGATGGTGACGCTTTTAAATTTTGGTCCCTTGTTGATAAAATTTTCGCCACAGTTGATGTTCCCACCTATGAGAAAAAAAATTGAAAAAATATTTTACAGCGTATTTTTACACTGCAGAATATATGTTCGAGGCCATCATTGTTACTTCTTCGAAAAAAAGGTCGGGCCTGTCTTTTCGAAACTGCAAAAAACATCTTTTTATGACAGTAAATGAGAATGACAAATTATTATCAATGCTGGCAAAATTAAAACATTTGTTTGCTTGATTAAAAAATTGCGTCTAATAATTCTGATCTAATAAATGAAGTAAAAAAGTGGCAATCCAGCTCAAAGCAAATGTCAATCAGACTACTGACTGACAAAAAACTAAATCATCAAATCAGTTTATCCAACTTAAAGAAAAAATATCAAAGCCTACTTTACTATATAAAGATCGTGAATGGATAATACATGCAAATTTTGACGTAACAATAACCTAAGTATTCAGTTTTTTTTAATAAAATAATCCATATTTCATATACTGAAAAAGTTATAGTAATTATCAACACTATGTATATTAATTTTTTAACTGAGTATAATTGTAGAAACAAGTTTTAGTTCTATTTAAATTTGCCGAGTTGCAAATTACAAATTAAAAAAAAACAGTTTCCTTTAACCTGTTGTCCCTTTATAAATGCTGGAAGTGGTAGGAGGAGAAAACTACCCCCGCTGGTTCATTAAAGCCTGTGACAGTCTTGGATTTTGTCGAAAACTTGCTTGTAAACAATGAGGTTTTAATAATTTTTAAGCTTCTCTAAATTTGCATCTGCACCATGTGATATACACACACAAGAGGGTTATTCTTTCTATATGTCCTAACCATTGCAATCTTTTTATTTTTATGAAATTGCTTACAACTGTGGCATTATATACATCATATATTTCTTCATTAGTTCTTCTTTCCTCATCCTCCTGTTTGTTTCCCTCCAAAGATTCTTCTAGGTATCTTCCTTTCCCAAATTTCCAGTCTTTATATCATTTTATTTGTCATAATCCATGTCTCGGACGCGTATGTTAGGGTTGGTCTCACCATAGATTAAATATGCGAGATACAGGCTGATTTTGCAAAACCACCCTTATTGACAATGGAGTCCTCAACCGTCAAAGAGAAGCGCAAAATTTAAATAGTCGACCCTTTTCCTGTAAGATCGTAAAACTTCCATAGTGACTTTCCGTGCGCACGCATCTTCAAAACCACGTATCCGGCACTCCGGCAGCAGAGCAAAGGCCTGTGACAACAAACCGCTTTTACAGAATGCAACCAGCTACACATGCGTAATCTATCGCTCATTGGTTAATTTTAACTTGGCGCTCCAAAAATCTGACTTCGCCTGCGCGATGTTATCTCACTCTGTATCATTGGAATTTATATAATGTCTACTCACTTTGCTTACAGGAAAAGGGTCATATTGAAAAACTTGTTTCAATACAACTCGTCGCCTGAGAACTTGTTTGATTTACAGACCAGAGCGCGCTTAGGCCAATGTCGTCTCTAAGCGTTCAGAAGCGATTTCGTTGGTTTAGACTATAATTTCTGCTGGAAATAGTTGTTCGGTCGGTTTTTATAACGACTAAGTGAACATTTTTGGTACATATTTAGATGATTTTACATATTTTGTTTAACTAAGAATTAATTCTTTATTTGTATTTTATAGTAGCAAAACGTCTTATTAAACTAAGAATATTGTTGAAATCGTAATAACCCTATGGATTTTTGTTCGGGAAAATGTTTTGGAAACACTGTGTTCTATTTTGTATGAATTTTAAAATGTTTTTAGTGACAATTTTTGTGGTTGTTTTCGATACACTGTATGATATTAACAGTGAGAAAAAAAAATGGAATCGAAACTCCCAAATTTAAAAAATCGGATAACTGAAAAATCGAAAAACTGGAAAATCGAAAAACCGAGAAATCGAAAAATCAAAAGATCAAGAAATCGTGGAGTCGAAAAGTCGAACAACTGAGAAACCGAAATAGGCCAAAATCGAAAAGTTAAAAATTGAACAATTTATAAATTGAGAAATAGACAATCAAAATATCGAAAAATCCAAAGCTCGATAAATCGAGAAATCAAAAAACTTAAAAATTCGAAAAATTGAAAAATTGAGAGATTTAAAGATCAAAAGAACGAGAAATCGAAAAGTGATGAAGTCGAAAAATCGAAAAATAGAGAAATCGACAAACAAAAAGTTAAAAGTTGAAAAATTGGAAAGGCGGACAAATCAAAAAACGAAAAAATGGAAAACTGAAAAACTGATAAATCGAAAACCTGAACAATCAAATCTCGATAAATCGGGAATGAAAAATTAACAAAGCGAAAAATTGAAAAACAGAACATCTAAAACCAGGAAGTCGAAAAATAGAAAGATTAAGAAGTATTGAAAAATTAAAATATCAAAAGATTGAAAAATCTAAAATTTAAAAATCCAAAAATTGAAAAATCGAAAAAGTAAAAAGGTAGACACATCGAAAAATCCAGAAGTCAAAAACAGAAAAGCCGAAGAATTGAAATATTGAAAAATCCTAAAACTGAAATATCTAGAAACTGAAAAATCCAAAAATCAAAAAAGTGAAGTCGAAAAATAGAAACCTCAAAAAATGGAAAAATTGAAAAATCCCAAAACTGAAATAAGAAAAACTGACGAATCGAAAAACTGAAAAATCCCAAAACTGAAATATCCAGTAACTGAGAATCTAAAGAATCGAAAAATTGAGAAATCGAAAAATCCAAAAAGTGAAGTCGAAATATCGAAACCTTAAAAAAATCGAAAAATTGAAAAATCAAAAACCTGAAAAATCGTAAGATCGAAAAATTGAATACTAAGTAAACTGAAAAATCCTAAAATTGAAATATCCAAAAACTGAGAAATTAAAAAATTGAAAAATTGAGAAATCGAAAAATCAAAATAGTGAAGTTGAAACATCGAAGCCCGAAAAAATATAAAAATTGAAAAACCAAAAAACCTGAAAAATCAATTAATTGAAAAATCTACAAATAAAGGGTTTATAAAAGTCAAAAATTGAAAAATCCAATAATTGAACAACAAATAGGAGCAAACTGAAAAGTCCCCAAACTAAAATTAAGGAATTTAAAGATGAAGAAATCGTGAAATCGAAAATTTGAAGAATCGAGAATATGAAGAATCGAAAAATTTAAAAATCTCAACACAAAATATCGAAAAATTTAGTAATCGAAACTGAAAATCGAGAAATTGAAAAATTGAAGAATAAAAAACTGAAAAATCCCAAAACTCAAATATCGAAAAACTGAGAAAAGTCGAAAATCAAAAAATTGAAAAATCAAAAACTGTAAATCGAAAAATCGAAAAATCAAAAAACTGAAAAATCTAAATATTGATAGGTTGAGAAATCGAGAAATGGAAAAGTCCAGAAATCAAAAAATTGAAAAAAAAAATCGATAACTAGAAAAATAGAAAAAGCGAAAAATTTTAAACCGAAAAATCGGAAGATCAAGAAATCGAAACATCCAAAAACTGAAAAATGTAAAAATGGAAAATCCGAAAGATCTAAAATTAGAAACGACAAATTGAAAGATTGAAACATTTAAAATTAAAAAAAAAGAGAAATCGAAAAAATGAAGAATCAAAATATTGCAAAAATCCCAAAACTGAAATATCGAAAAATTGAAAAATGAAAGAAAAATTAAAAAAACGAAGAATTGAAAAATCAAAAAACTGAAAATCGAAAAATAAAAAAAATGATAACTAGAAAAATCGAAAAACCAAAAAATTTAAAACCGAGAATTCGAAAAATCGGAAGATTAAGAAATCGAAACAACAACAATCGAAACCCTGAAAACTTTAAAAATAGAGAAATCGGAAAGCCGAAAAATCGAAAATTAGGAAAATTGAGAAACCGAATTTTTTTATATGCATCTACATTTTTAACTTTTTTTTCCAAAAATCTTGATGTCTACGATAAAAATTCAAACGGATTCATAAACCACAACTTCGGGACTATATTACTGTTTAACATTAAACGAGTTTTTATTCGACAAAAACTGAAAAATCGAGAGATCGAAACATCAAAAAATCAAAAAACTGAAAATCGAAAAATTCAAGAATCGAAAAACTAAAAAATCTAAACGCTGAAATGTCGAGAAATCGGAAAATCAAAAAAATCAAGTAATCGACAACATGAGAAATCGAAAAAAAAAACGTCAAAAATTGAAAAGTTAAAAAAATTAAAAATGGTAAAACTGAAGCATTTGAAAATTGAGAAATCTAACTCAAAGTCTAATCCAACGTATGTCAAAATGTGTTGTGGCAGCTTGTAATATTCTGGTAAATCTAGTGTCAATTTGTCGAAAGTAAAACGCGTCGTTAAAAATATTATGACATTTTTTCTATCGTAGTTAATTTTATTCCTAATTAGAAACAAACACTGTTGCCAACAAAGTCGAGAAGTCTTCAACCGTCATTTAATTTAAACTATGACGCTTCTCTATGTTTTCTGGTCTAACCATTTTTTCCTTTCTCTTGCCTTTGTTTTACTCACATGTCTTTTGTCGCTTCTGTTGAATTTAAACACTGAAACAATGGCAACCAGTAATACACTTATAATTTTATTATTTTAAAACAACAAAATGTGACGTCATTGATGAACAATGTTACTGCGCATGCGTGACTTACGCTGGAGTTTATAAAAGGCGTGGTCAAAACGAATTTCATCATTCGCGAGATAATCTTGCATCGGAGTTGACTTAACTGGCGCCTTCATAATCGCTTAAATAACTTCTGTTACCAAACACTCGGTGGGGTCTAACCACAAAATAGGTAGGTACTACAAAGTTGATAAAATCTGAGACATTCTATCCGTCACTGTAGTCTCACGCAAGTCGTTCTTGTGCACGCATCGAGCCTGCAGAGGGCGGGGTTGTGTCGTTCGTCAACCCCTGCTGCGATCAATCACCTTAAACAAGTACCGACAGGTTAGGTGCTGTCGGTACCGTCGGTACTGTGCTTGGAACGACCTAACATTGTACGTCGTATTTACTCAGAAGTTTATATTGTAGTACTAATTCAGTGTAGGTTTTTGAAAACAGCCGATAAAGTCGTACCACAAGATCTGTTATTACACAAATTACACAGTACTGCACAGACTTCACATCTTCTATTTAACATCGGCATAAATCACGGAAGTGCCGATATTGGCATTGACCTTGACATACTTGCATGACTTAAGTCTGAATAATATTTTTGTCGACAGACACATTGAATAACGTTGTCGTCATGGACTCGAGTTCCGACGAAGAAATCGGGGAACCGGAAGAAGAATTAAAATATAAAAGAGAGCAAAAAATACTAAACAATGGTGTGTTACACATCCAGCAGCCTGAAGAAAATCCATGTTCTTCAAAAACGGTATTCCAAATTATTCATATTTGTTACAATTAATTAAAAAAAAATACTAACTCGAATGCAGGTTTTATATAGACATGCGTAGTATTTACACGTCTCTATTATCACCTGGAAATAAAAATAGTATTTTTTTCAATAAATTTGTTAATTTTTGATTCTGAATTATCAAAATTTGATGATTATTTTTGTTCAGCAGACAGATCTCACAACGGTAGATACCCCAGACAAACAAGTTAAAAATCTAACTGAGGAAACTACGTGTGGACAGATAGATGCAGAAACAACAAATAAGTCTTTTCTAGAAAAGGTAAATCTATTAATGATGAAATTCATTCATAGATTAAAGGGTGTTATTAACTTTTGTTTTTATACTTTCTTATTTTATTTTTAGACTTTTAAGAAAAGATCTGGAACAACGGATAAAGGTAGAAAATACGAAAATATGGTTGTGGCTAACTTGGTACTACAAACGCTAAATGACACTAAAATAACCGATTTCAACATTTCGTCGGATAACGAAAATTTTGGCGACTTCGACGACGTAGTCGTAGAAATTGAGACAGATCGCGGTATTGACACAAAAGCAATCCAACTAAAACTTAGCGGTGAAGGAAATTTACCTATAAACAGACTGAAAAGCAAAACTGGAGACTTTAGCATAAAAAAATACTTCAACTCTTTCCTAAAGATAAAGGACAAACGGTCGCAATTTATTTTATTCACGAACCAGAGACTTGCAATTTTGGACGAAACACAACTTCAACTAGAAGGAGAAGAATTTTCTGTGAAACCGACTAAAGTGTCATTTTCTGAAGACAGTTTCGACGGTTTAAGAATTTCCGAAAATGTAAATTACTATCGGACATTTCAAGTCGTAGAGGACGAATGGACCGAACAAAATTCGGAAAACATTCAGCAGTACCAAACCTTCTTTGACCGCTTTCGACTTTACACTAACCAAGAGAAATTGGAAACTCTGACAGAGTCGACAATGAATAAATTTACGAAGATGTTCTGTTCTAATGAAGAAGTATTCAATTTTTACGTTAAATTCATATCGGATTGGAGCTTAAAAAATGGACGAAAAGAAAAATTAACCAAAAAGTTTATGCAACGTGCGATTGCGCTTCATTTACTTTCTTCACACATTGAACCTCTTGATTTTGGTTCAGTAAGCGACAAAATGAAACTCCTTGGAGATGCTATTTGTCTGTTCGACATTACGCTGTTGGACAAAGATGTTAGCAACGCAGTTAAAACATTGTGGGGCGACTTGGCTAAAAATGTTGACCTAGACGAACTAAACAAAGTTCGGTCACGATATTCTCTTTCGTCGGTTAGTATAACTACTATCGATGATGTGGACCCCAAATTGTTGTCGCAGTTGTTATGGTTGATGGACAAATGCCCCTTAATTGTAAAAGAACACAAAAATATCGAAAAAGCCATTCAGCTATGTCCAGATGCAACATTTATTATACTCGGCGACGGAAAACCTAGAGAATGGATGAAAGATCGTTCCGTATTTCAAAGCTTGTCGGATTTAGAGTCAAATTTTGAAAAAGTGCTTCAAGATTTCGCCATTTCGGTGCAAGGAAAAGAGGAAATTAAGTTGGAAACTGCTTTCAAACAAAACGAAGAATTCGTAAAGCACGTGAGTGTGAACAAACTTGTAGAAATGTCAACTGGTCCATGCTATATAAATGGACAAAAGGAAACTTTTCCGAATCTTTATATCGAAAGATATTTGTCGGTCAATATCATCGATGTTAAATATTTGGAACATATTAATCAAAACACTGTTGTCATTGTGAACTGCCAAGAAAATTCGGAGATTTTTAAGATATCTAAAAAGCATAAAGATTCCAAAATTTCTCACGCTCCAATTATAATCAGCAAAAACAAATGTAGCGAGTCTGAATTTCAAAAAATAAGTTCCAAAATTCCGGATACCAAAACAGTACATTATTTTAAATTTCGTAGTAATAATAATTTAGAGTGGATTCGAAGTAGAGGTGACATTAGTGAATTGCGAAACTATAAGTTGAGTAATCATTCCAAAAACGAAAAAGAATTTTGGTCTTTCGGGTTCAACAACAACATTAATGTAATAACGGGCGATCCTGGAATGGGTAAAACTGAGTTAACGAAAAGTTTAAAAAACAACTGTTGTTCTAAATACTGGACGGTGATTATAAATCCTCAAGATGTTAATTCATTGTCTAAAACTTTACAAACTTGTGACGCATCAGATTACTTAAATCGGTTCGAATCATTTATCTTAAACGAAAAATATCGACACCTTGAACAGTTCGATCGAGAATTTTTCAAACTGTGTTTGGGGCAAAACAACGTCGTTTACGTGTGGGACGCTCTCGACGAAATTCTAACCAAAAATTTGGACGCTGCGTCAAACTTGATTCTTCTATTATCACAAAACGGTTGCATTCAGTGGGTTACCGCAAGACAACACTTGAAGCCGTTTCTTGAAGACAAATTTAACGTAATGTCGATGAGTATTAACCAGTTTAGTGAGACCGAACAAGAAGATTACATTAGAGAGCGTCTGTCGCATTTTATTTCGTCTATCGACATGAAAAAAACGATCGAGAAAATTAAATCCTTGTTTGCGTTCACAAAACACGTGGATATTTTGGGGATTCCGCTTCAGATATTTATGCTCACGGAGATATTCCGCCAAAATAAAGAATCATATTTGGAATTATTGAACAACAAGCTTCTCTTGACTGATTTGTATCGTTATTTTATTGACGGGAAGTTTAGTTTCTTTTTTGGAGGCAAAGTGCCAGTAAACTGTGATTACTGGAAAGCAGAAGTCGAGAAAAAGAAAGAGGAAAAACTAAAGCGGTATGAAAAAATCGCGCTTGAATTAATATTCCCTGACGAGATTTTGAAAGAATTAAAGATCGACTGTTCACAAGATTTAGATTTAGTTTCTGAAGATTTTGCAACTGTTGGTGTTGTCACTGGATTACAAAACGGCATTCCGCAATTCGTGCACGTTTCCTTTGCTGAGTATTTTGTTGCCTTGTATTTGTCTAAAAATTTCGAAAAGACACGCAGAGACGTATTTTTTGATCAAAAGTACAATAACGTACGGTTTTTCTTTGACATGTTAGTTGGTCAAAAATCACCAGTGCACATCGCGGTTTTGTACAGAAATTTTGAACAACTAAAGAGTTATAACGACGAAATAATAAATCGTAAAGACGACTGTGGAAGAAGTGCCTTACATCTCATTTGTTCTTGGGGACAAAGACATCCACGTTTGACAGTTCACAAAAGAAATGATGTTTACGTAATCAAAGACGGTTATGGGGGGTTTCGCGATTTACTCGAAACGGGAGAATACTTAGAAGCGTTGCAATTTTTGTTAAACAAATGCGACATTTCAGAAAAAGATTTATTATTTAAAATCACACCCATAGAATGTTCTCGAGAAAGCGCGAGTTTGGGGGCAGAACTGGAATTATTACAATCAAGAAAATTGCAATTCCCGCAACGCTATAACAACAGCGATAGAATCAATATAATATATTATTCCGCTCAGTTCGGGTACGACGAAGCCATTAAATTAGTTATTCCAGAAAGTGTTCGCTCGTTGTACAAACAAGTTAATTTTTTTGCTGAATACAGCTACGAAAGTCTCTTGTCAACGGCTTTCCAAAACGGCTACTTAACAGTTCCTGAGTACTTAGTCCAGTGCGGCGGCAAAGTCAATCGTGATATTTACGACTGCGAGACGCCGCTTTACGCGGCTTCCTCGAAGGGCTACGACAAAGTCGTCAAAGTCCTGGTGAAATGCGGTGCCGAGATCAATGTTCCTGATAATTTTGGTCGGACACCGCTCTACGCTGCTTCTTCAAACGGCCACGAAAAAATTGTCAATTACCTAGTGAAACGCGGAGCCGAAGTCAATGGCGCCAATTATTGCGGTGAAACACCCCTCGGCGCGGCTTCCAGGAAGGGCTACGGAAAAATCGTTCAATTGCTAGTGAGATCCGGAGCCAAAATCAGTCAGACACCGATTTACTTGATAGCTTGTTTGAACGTCACGGAAAGAACTGGCGAATACCTAGCCGAAATGAGACGTCGTCGAACACCGCGTGACGAAGAAACTGTAGACTTCCTGGTGAAAGGCGAACCAGAAACAAATCACGTTGTTATTACTTAGAGGTTATTAATAGTATGTTAGTATATTTGAAATAAATATGTTTCTTTGTTGATCTGTGTATTATTTTCTTATTATTTCTTCCATATATATGTCACCAAGCATACACAAAATTGATTCTTAGTACATCGTACAGTTGGTTGCCTACCTTCAAGGTTGACACAAATTTGTAGGGTTATGTGACGAAACATGAACCTTGACAAATAAATTTATTTGAGCATTTCGACGGTCTTCTTCAGGTTTTCAGGGCGCAATAGTTCCTTTTACAATTAAATAAAATTGTAACGGTGATTCTAGGATAATCAAAATGTCTATTCTGGAATACTCTGAAGTTTCATCGTAAAAATTTTCGCTTGTATGTTTAGTTGCATAACTCATATAACGGTAATTTAATAAAATTACGATCGCCGGAAAAATATTGTAACTAATGGATCAATGGGTTATAAACACAGGGAAGTAAGTAGTCGCAAAATTCTGTGTGAACAAAAACATGTCGTTGCAGCCAAAATTACTTTTTGAGAACATATTTACAGTTTCTAAATTCTTGTGAAAATTTGACTTTCGTGTATTTGGATGAAACATGGATCTATCAAAATGGTTCGTCCATTCGTCGCTGGGTGCACGATACCACAGACCATACACTTTAGATGGGAATCTACTGTACTACCAATGGTAATAGAAATAGCGCGCCGCCAGTGGAGGTGGGGACAACTAAATCAAAAATTGCGCGAATTTTAAAGGAATCGCTATTAATAAAAGCATGTGAAAGTGAAGTAGAAAATGTTCATTACGATTCAAGCTATTGTCACCGAAATATTGTTAGGGTGACAATAGCTTGAACCATAATGAACATTTTTTAGTGAAGATTGAAATGAAACTTTTATGTTAAACAAATAATATTTATTGAAACAATTTAATTAAAACTTAATCTAATTAAATCACAGAGACAATAATATTTATTCCGACAGGTAACACCCAATTACAGGAATAATATCAAACTAACTAAACTAATTCATGACAGCAACTAAAAAGTATAAATATTTAAAAAACAAAAGTATTTATAACTAATTAAACATTAAACCAAATTTACAATGCAATTACAAATACTACAACTAGAATCTAAATTAATATCACATAAATGTGCAATTTTGTTGAATAAATTAGACATAGCTGAAACTGAAGAGCGAACTGAGATGTTTGTACGGCTAGAAATCAGTATAAAACAGAACTATATATTAAATCAATACAGTCTAATTTATTGTGAAATAAATTGTATAAAAGTTGATAATAAAAAAGAGATAACGATAATATCAAATTTGTCTTATTATCAACGGGCGGAATGATGTTTCAGAAGTAGTTTTTTTACTAGCTGTAAACAGTCCTAGAGACGACCTTGTGGACCAGATCAAAGCGTCCCCGCTACTCGCCGTAAAACACACCTTGCTTCAACTGGGGAATTGCATCCGTAAGATAAATTTCCGCATACTGCTTACTATATACGAAATGAATGTTTAATTGGTGTTAGAAGATGTTGGAAAATTGACTACACGTTTAGGTGATCATGCTTACGTTTTTATGATCAGAGGGCTTCATCGGTATTATTATCTTTCACATGTAGTAGTCCCTCTACAAAATCAAATAAACTTAAAAAAATGCCAGGAAATATGACTTGAAGTTGTTACAACAGTCAAAGATCTGCAAATCAGGCTGCGATCAATTCTTTAATTAAAGAATCAGAAGGATGAATTCAAAGGAAAAACTGAGATGTACTATAGTGGTTTTGTCATCAATAATAATTGAAGATAATTCCACTGTTGCAGAATGGGAACACATTAAAACATTCTATTTAATAGACACAAAAAAAAATGTACGAATCCGCCCAAAATTAACAGATATCATAAAATAAAGGTGTCATGGTTCAGGTGTTTAGTCAATAAGTAGGTGTCAAAATGGAGCAAAGTAAACATTTTACCCTCAGAAGCAGCAGATACAGGAGATTTACTTTTGTTCTTCGACATATTGTTTGACAGCCTAAATTACAATGAGAAAGTTCCTTTTCTAGCAAAAGCTATAAAAAGTAAGTGGTGTTACTGCTACTGATATTGTAAATGGTATGCGTTTTTATGATGCCAAAAAGCACCAATATGTTAAAGTTCTGTAGCCTTTAAATTTAGCAAAAACGGTATAACGTTTTGTACAACTCAAAGATTGTTTACTGCAGAAATTGAAGTAATTTTTACCAAGGGCACTTAACCAAGGCTGCCTAGAAACATTTTTCTCGGATTTACGTGGACATTAACGGTATAATACGTCTTCTGACGCAGCTTATTTTATGTCTGCATTTAAGATCCTATTAGTTAATAATTTTGTCCAGCCACTGCCTAGGTGCTAATTGTGAACAACTGTGTCAAAAGCAACAATCGTATACATGCCTACCTGGGATTGTAAAAAAAATGCAAATTATAACTCACTGTTATTACGTGGTACAAAAATTGATCACATTCTGATGATAGAGGTACCATTCGATGTGATTGAAGCGAAATAATGTGTAATCATTAGACAGCGGATTTCTGTCGGGCTACGTCACGATATAGGTGGGGACGCGCTGCATCGCCGGGACTCAGTAGCGGGTGATAGGTAATCACTGAATTTAATTGTCACTTGATTCCATAAATACAATTAACGATTTATTAATCAAACGGCTAAGTAAATGAGAACTGGAATTAACAGCAGAGTGCAACGAAGCAGCGTTATTCTAATCTCAAATAAACGAAGTGCAGCCGTAACAGCAATAAATTCCCATCCCGTACGAGCCGTACCGAGTTTGGCCTTGTCTAGCCCGACAGAAATCCGCTCTCTAGTAATCATGCTCCGCTACAAAAGCTTGGTAGCCATTTATATTTTATTATTGAACAATCTTTGTCAAAATATTTTTTTATACCACGACACTGTCACAAAAGTAGTATTCGTATCATGCACCAACCAATATTGCTGAGATATTAGAATTTGTCTGTATTAAATTGCAACGAATATTGCGTAGGCAAAAAACTGTTTAATTAGTGTATTGTAGATTACACTTTTGGTACAAAGATAAGAAGAAGATAATAAATTTGTACAATTCCTAAAAACACTCCATCAACTCTTCTTATTGACCCTAGTAAGTTAACAGCGCAAACAGTAAAATTGTATGTAATATTTTTTTAGAACACTATCCTTTTGTACTAGTTTTTGTCCAGAATTTGAATATTTTTATCATATGATGCGATAAACTAATTCAAAATGTCAGGATGTGTCCTTAAAGTCGAAAAAAACTAAAAGTAACGAAGAACTTAGAAATATGAAAAAATTAAAACCTGGAGATTGAGAAACTTTCTCTGCTTGAGCCAATCTCATCCGGAGATTGCCTATTTTCTTTCCCATCCTCATTTGTTTTACCGACCAATTCAACGCCATCGAATAAAACCTTTTGCAGCGGGGCGTCAACTGTGCTTGCCTGGTTGCATCAACACTGTGCAAAATGCCCCCTCCTTTTCTCGATGCTGCAAGACAGAAACAAACATAAGTTGATTTTTTGAATGTATGAATGAATTGATTAGTTTACAATTCTTTAAAAAATTCCTCCTGATACTTACATTTCATAGGCGGCGTTGTGCACGAATTATTTTGTGGAGGAGACAAACAAGTTTCGTCTTCTACATCTGTTACAATGAAATGATGTTATAAATAATGAGATAATGAGTAGGTATTTCTAGATTCAATAAAAATGTAATTCATGTTTACTCACTTGGGATTACTGGTGATTGAATAAAATCACTAGTTACTGAGGCTGCTTCTTCAACCATTGACGTCAAATGGACGTCATCTTCCTCTTTCCCTTGTAGGACAACTGCAATACAAAAAGCTGTTCTTCAAAGTCTATTGAAAGTAATGAAAATGAACAATTTTACGCTGATATGCTTTTCGATGAAACAAAAGAAATTTCAAGGACTGCAGTACCGAGTATTCCCTTCGCTGGCAGTGAGAACACCTTGCAAACGACGAGGCATGCTTTGGATAAAATTTTGGATTACATTCAGCGGAAGATTGTTCCATTTCTGCACCACTATGTTGCGAAGACAGACAGATAACACCCAAAAAAAACTATGCTGATAATGGTTTTTAAGAATTTGGCTGGAGGACTCCTTTTTTGTCAAACGCTTATCGAAACAACAACATTTTTTTAAAGCAATCAGTTCGTAGAGTATGTTATATCGGAAAAAAATTACGGGGTGACCCGAATTTTATGCTCGGCAGTGTATATTTTTTATCGCTCATTACTTATTACTGATGACACTTTGTAATACAATTGTAATTGTTTGTACATACCTGCTGATAAACAAATATTCGGAAAAGCATCTCTACGAAGTCCCCGTCTTGTTCCAGGAACTTTGAAATCGGTAGAAAAATGTCTATCACACACATATTTGTTATAGAGTTCGCTTGGTTCCATGGAACTAAAAAGAGGCGCGTTGACATTTTCAATCCATTTTTTCAGCAGTTGTTCCTCTTTGGGAAAACGATGCCTTTTGGACACCTTGTCATCGCAGCCCGGCACACTACATTTATTTTTGTAAATAATCGTACCCTCCATTTCGCTAATCCCTGAAAATAATTCTCTATAGGTATTGATATATTTTTAAATAATATACTAAATGACAAAACAAACCTGAATGAACACATAGAAAAAAAGTACATTTTGTTACCTTACTGGAGTCATAACTTCATCAAGTTACAACATTGTCTTCTCGTTTGCTTACAATTCGTATTAAACACACACAACATGATTAGTTGTTACCCTAACAGTATTCAGTACCTGCAAAGGTGTTTTTGCCTAAATTACTGATATGGTGATGACACCTTTCATATATACCATTGTATATTGTAAGGATCCAATTCGAATTTTTAAATTTCAAACGAATTCCGCGCGCACAAGAAACGGTTAGTGAGAAGAAGGAGAGGTTGGCAACCAACCACCCCAAAGAAACAGAGATGCGCAAAGCGAGGGTGATATTGT